ATGGGTTAAAAATTGGAACATAAGATACAAAACCGTAAAAATACTAGAAGAAAAATATAGGCAGTATGTTCCTGACTGGGTGTTGGCAATAATTTTTTGGATTTGACACCAAAAACAAAGGCAACAAAAGCAAAAATAAGTAGGATGATATCAAACTAAAAAGCTTCTGCAGAGCAAAGGAAACCATCAACAAAATGAAAAGGCAATCCATGAAATGGGAGAAAATATTTAAAAATCATATACTTGATAAGGGGTTAATATCCAAATAAAGAAATTATACAACTCAATAGCAAGAAAAGAAAATCCCAATTAAAAAATGAGCAGAGGATCTGAATAGACATTTTTCAAAAAAGACATGCAGATCGCCTACAGGTATATGAAAAGGTGCTCAGCATCACTAATCATCAGAGAAATGCAAATCAAAACCACAATGATATATCACCTGACACTTGTTAGAATGGCTATCACTAAAAAGACAAGAAATAACAAGTGTTGGCAAGGATGTAGAGATAAGGAAACCCTTGTGCACTGATGGTAGGAATGTAAATTGGTACAGCCACTTTGAAAAACAGTATGTAGGTTCCTCAAAAATTAAAAATAGAACTACCATATGATCCAGCAATTTCACTTCTAGGTGTCTATGCAAAGAAATAAAAAATTAACTCAAAAAAGATATATGCCACTCCCATGCAGCATTATTTATAATAACCAAGATATGGAAACTACCTAAGTGTCCATCAATGGATGAATGAGTAAAGAAAATACAATTGAGTTACACACACATACACACACACAATGGATTATTATTCAGCCATAAAAAAGAAGGAAATCTTGCCATTTGCAACAACATGGATGGACCTTGAGAACATTATGCTCAGTGAAATAAAGACAAATACCATACGATATCACTTATATGTGGAATCTAAAAAAGAATAGAGAAAACAAAAATGAGCACATAAATACAGAGAACAGATTAGTGGTTTCCACAGGCAGAGAGTGGAAGATGGGTAAATTAGTGAATGGGGTCGAGGGAAAACAAGAACCAAGTACAATAAGTGAAAAGAAAAATTCACTAGAGGGACTCAACAGTCGATCTGAACTGGTAGAAACAGAATCAGCAAACTTGAAGGTAAGCTGATAGAGACTATGCATTCTGAAGAAGAGAAAAAAAAATTGGGGTAGCTTAAGTACACCAACATGTCCATAATAAGAGTAGTAGAAGGAGAGAAGAGAGAGAAGCAGAAAAATATGCAAAAGGATAATGGCAGAAAACTTCCAAAATTTGATGAAAACCATTAATGTGTATGTCCAAAAGCTCAGTGAACTCCAAATAGGATAAATGCAAAGATATCCACACCCAGACATGGCATAGTATAAATTCAGAAAGGTAATGAGAAAATCTTGAAAGAACTGAGAGAAAAATGACTTGTCACTACAAGGGAACTCCAGTAGGATTAATAGTTCGTCAGAAACAGTTTAGGTCGGAAGCAATAGGACAACATATTCAAAGTGCTCAAAGGAAAAAACTAAACCCCAGAATCTTATATCCAGCAAAATGATCTTTCAAAAATGTAGATGAAATAAAGACATTCCCAGATAAACAAAAAATGAGAGAATTTTGTTGCTAGCATAGCCACTTTACAAGAAGTACTAAATAAAGTTTTCTCAGGCTGAAGAAAGTAAACACCAGATGATAACTTGAATTCACACAAAGGAAAAAAAAGAACATTATTAAGGTAAATATGTAATTATAAAATAATGTAAGTGCACATTTTTCATCTAACTGATTTAATAAGCCATTTATAAAACAATATGTATAAAATTGTATTGTTGGGCCTATAACATATAGAAATGTAATATATTTTCAATAACAGCACCGTGGAGGTAGGTGGGAGCAAAGCTGTATTTGAGTAAGCAGATGAAACCAGCTGGATTGACCACAACAAATGAAGAGAGCTAGAAATGGTAAATTAGAAAGTTAATACACAAACTTTATAAATACATTTTTTGCTCTCTTCTGTCTCTCAGGTTTTATAAAAAAAACAGTTATATAAAGTAATTATAATATGTTGTTGGATTTCTAACATATATGGATGTAATGTGTATGCCAATATAATAGCACATAAAGGGGAAAAGAGGATATAGAGCTATATAAGAGTAACATTTCTATATCCCCCTGGCATTAAGTTAATATACACCTGAAGTCGATTCTGATAAATTAAGATGTATGTGTTGTCTTAGAGCAATTACAAAGAACTCCAAAAATATGATGACAGAGGGGCACCTGGGTGGCTCAGTCATTAAGCATCTGCCTTCAGCTCAGGTCATCATCCCAGGGTCCTGGGATTGAACCCCACATTGGGCTCCCTGTCAGCAGAAAGCCTGCTTCTCCCTCTCCCACTCCCCCTGCTTGTGTTCTCTCTCTCGCTGTCTCTCTGTCAAATAAATAAATAAAATCTTTAAAAAATTATGATGACAGAATTATTAAAGAAAGAATAAGTTGCACCAGAAGATATTTACTTAATGCCAAACAAAGCAGTAAAGGAAGATTAGAGGGATAAAAAAGACAGGAGACATACAGAAAACCTAAAGTGAAATGACAGATGTAATCCAACTATATCAATAATAACATTAAGTATGGATAGATTTAACAATCCAATCAGAAGATAAAGATTGTTGGACTAGATTTTAACTCTATACTATTTGAAGGCATAAAGATACAAATAGGTTGAAAGTAAAAGGATCATGCAAACAGCAAACATAAGAGGCTGTAGTTAATATCAGACAAAATAGATTTTAAAGCAAAAAAAAATGTTACTAGAAATAGAGACATTTAAAATGAAAAAATGGTCAACCCATCAAAATTTAACAATTATAAACATCTAAGCATCTAACAACAGAACTAAAATGTACATGAAGCAATACTTCACAGAATCAAAGGGAGACAGACAATTAGAAATTTCAATACTGCACTTTGAATAAGGATACAAGGACTAGGTAGAAGACCGAAAAGGAAATAGAAGACTTGAAAAATGCCATGATCGAAACCTCTATACTGAAATCTACAAACTAGTGCAGAAAGAAAAATTTTAAAAGATCATTTAAATGGAGGAGAACACCATGTTTATGAGTTGGGAGACTATTATTTAAATGTTTATTCTGCCAAAATTATCTATGGACTTATTACAGTCCAATAAAATGTTGGCATATCCTTTTGTAGAAATTGAAAAACTGATTCTAAACTTTATTTAGGAATGCAAAGAATCTAAAATAAAAAGCTCTTGGAAAAGAACAAAGTTGGAGGATTTTACTCCTGACTTCAAGATGTACTATAAACCTACATTAATTAGTGGGATACTACAGAATAGAAAGTCCAGAAATAAAACTATATTTATGTAGCCAATTTATTTTTTACTAAGTCACTAATAAAATCAATGAAGAAAGGAAAATCTTTTTAACAAATAATGATAGAAAAACTGGACAAACATATAGGGGAAAATGGACCTTAATCTCTTCATACCACAAAATTAATTTGAGATGAAATATAGTCCTAAAAAAGAAAGCTGAATATTAAAAAGTTTCTTGAAGAAAACAATAATATCTTCATGACCATGGAGTAGGCAAAGATTACTCATATAAGAATTTAAAAAAATCACAGAAGGAAAAAAAATGATAATTTGTCCTTCAAGAAAACTAATCTGATCATCAAAAGACACTTCATTTTCATTAAGAAAATGACAAGATAAGTCTCATATGGCAAAAAAATATTCACAATACCTACTTCTAACAAAAGATTCTTAAATATATAAAGAATTCTATTCAAGCTTTGGCACTTAGTTCTGTAACCTTAAATAGTTTAAACTCTTCGAACCGACAGTTTCTTATCTGTAAAACGTAAGAGTTGGGCTAGAGTACCACAGTGGACCTTTTCTAAAATTCTATGATTTTTTGAATGCACAGCAAGTTTATTCATACAAATTACATAAAGGACTGGTGGCAAGGATTATGAACAAAGATAGCTTTGGTAATTGACAAAGTACTTCTGGGTATGGGGATTTACATTAAAGTAGAAACTCTGAATATTTATTTACGAAGAAAAAGTATACAAGAATCTCCTACAAGGATAGGAAAACCATAATTAAGGATGTTTTATGAATGCCATAGTAGTGAGAATTACAAAATGTTTATTAACCTATTGTGTCTATCCTTGTGTCAATAGATCCTTGTATATGTCAGTAGAATGACAGAATATTAAAAATAAGAGAAAAATGTAGTGTTTATTATAAGAAGGAATTTGATGCCCTCAAATCACTTAATATGTACTACATAACACTACCTTTTTATAACTAAGTATAATATTTAAAATTTGTAGCATACCCTTAATGTTCCTTATAAAACCCAATAAGCATTTCTCTTGAAAGTAGATTTGGTTAGGTCTTTTTAAAAACACATTATAAGTTGTATTATTTTTGGTCTATTTTCAGGTGAAACTTAGGTCATTTATTAAAGTAGCACTGGGTGTAGACGAATCATGAGAGACTAGGGACTCTGAGAAACAAACTGAGGGTTTTAGAGGGGAGGGGGTGGGGGGATGGGTTAGCCTGGTGATGGGTATTAAAGAGGGCACGTTCTGCATGGAGCACTGGGTGTTATACGCAAACAATGAATCATGGAACACTACATCAAAAATTAATGATGTAATGTATGGTGATTAACATAACAAAAAAATAAAGTAGCTATTTCATATGAAAAAATAAAAAAGATTTTATATTTTTCTACCATTATGTTCAGTTACCCTTTGCATATCTATTAGTTATTGCTCCTTATTGTTTCCGGTATCACTTGTCGAAACAAATTATCAGAACTATTGTCATAACATGAGACTACAAAAGTAGTTTTCACAGGGGGAAGAAAAACCTTTTCAAATTTTCAGGAATAAATAAGAATTATCTACAAAGTGTTAGCAAAATTTATCTCACTTATTATCATTTCATTTTCAGGTTTAACTGAGCTAAATGACAGTCCAGTTCCCCTGGAACTCGAGCGCTGCAAGTCTCCCACTTCAGGTAAACATGAATGGTACCTTTCAGTTTTCCGGTAATTCGCTGCAGTAATCTACTGCTTTATTTTCATAATTCTTACAATGTGAAATTCATAACTTTAGTAATTGTAATATAGTTTCTGAAATTTAATCATAAACAAATTTGACTCCAAAATCAATTCGAAATAAATGTCTTTAAAAATATTTTTGGCCTCCCAAAAAATTAAGACCAGAGGTATGAGTGTAGCACTTTTTTTTTTTTAATTAACATATAACATATTATTTGTTTCAGGGGTACAGGTCTGTGATTCATCAGTCTTACACAATTCACAGCGCTCACCATAGCACATACCCTCCCCAATGTCCATCATCCAGCCACCCCATCCCTCCCACCCCCCTCCACTCCAACAACCCTCAGTGTAGTACTTTTAAAGACATTTTAAAGGAAGGTTTTTTACCAGAGGTAAATAATGCTAAATAAAAATTGGTAATGTTATACAGAAATTCTGTCTTCTTATAGCTAGAGTTGAATTAGTGAGAAATATATACTGTAGGTGCAGAGAATATGATACCATTGGACCTTAGTTGGTCCTCTGGACCACAGTTTGGAAACATGTATATTCACTGATAAAAAAAGAAAAAATGATAATATGCTGGAACTAAAGCATCAAGATAAAGCATGAGCCCACTAAAATATACAAAAAGAGTATAAAGATTCCTAGGAATAAGTCTTTAAGGTATGCAAAAAAAAATGTTAGTAGTAGAAATTGTTGGGTGGTGGGATTATGAATGGTTAGCTTATTTTATTTATTTATCTGATTTTTCTCCAATGCATATATAATAATATGTACATTTTTAAGCACCAAAAATATTAGGTATATCTTTGATACTGAACTATAGGTATGTTTACATACAGTATCAAAAATTGTTTTAATTTTTTATTTTAACTTAACATAAATGTATAAACATTTAATACCTTATAAAGGAATTAATTTTGACTTTTAGAAATTCATTTAGAACTGTGACATTTCTTCAGTTTGCTGTCTTAAGAGTTGTTAGTTGTTTATCCTTATTCTTCAGGAATGTAGGCTAAGTAGAATCTAGTTGTGTCTGTGTAAATTTTTGTTTAATCATATCTATTTAATCCTTATTTTACTGCTTTTATTTTAAACATGATCTCATACATTACCCTTTCTTTTGCATTTCTATTGGCATCATCCTAATTTAGGCATTTATTATTCCACATTTAAAGTATCACAAAATGTTCTAACAGGTGTCTCTGCTATCCATCTCTCACTCTTACAATTCATTTTGCAAATCATGTTGCAAAATTAATCTCCTTAAATATTACTTTGATATTTTTATGTCAGAAATCTTCAATATAAAATTCAATTCAATATTCTATATCAATTTAAGTAATTTCACTTTAAATTCTCATCCATAATCTGAATTTTAATAGTAATATAGGGTTCAAATGTCAAAAAGAAATGGAATTTAAATTCTCCCTCCCATCCTTCCCCATACATTGTTTCCATCATTTTGAAAAATAGTTACTTTCTTATTTATCTTTTCAGTTTGTGTTTGTAAACAAACCAAAAAGACATACATTCTTTTTTGCTTCCTGTTTTATACACAAGTAGTATATGCATTTCACTCTGCTTGTTTCAGTTTACTGTGTATCTTGTCTTTCCATTTGATTACATAATCATTACAATTGTATGATATTTAATTGCATGTATGTACTATTAACTTATATAGTCCTTTCACCAATTAAAGGACACTTAGTTTGCTATCAAACTTCTGTCATGTCAAACAATGCTGCAGTGACTAACCTTGGTTCATTCCTCATTTTAAATGTGTACAGGTATACCTATAAGATAAATTCCTAAAATTGGAGCTGCTGAGTCAGAGTATATGCCTGTCTAATCTTTATAAATTCTCCCTATTTTCTCTCCTTCTATCAATAACATCAATAAACCAATGTTTATTGGTTATCATTTTTTTAATTTTATAAGTCTGTTGGGAAAAAGGATATATCAATGTAATTTCAACTTATCTCTCACATTGTTTAATACCTTTTCAATTGTTTAAGAACTCTTTAAATATTTTTTTTCTGTAAATCATCTATTCATACAATTTACCCATTTTCTATAGGGTTGTTTGTTCCTTTCATATCAATTTTTATTGCCTCTTTACAAATTAAGATCACCCTTTTATGACATGAGATCCAAATATTTTTTCTTAATTTTGCTTGTGGTATCTCTTGCCTTACAATAGCTTTCTGCATTCAGATATTTCTTTTAAGGATATTCTTTATGCCCAACAATTTAAATACTATTGGAGTTAACTACTTTTTAAAGTTTTGGTAGAATTCTCCCATCAAGTCATTTAACCTTTATAATTACTTATTTTGTATGTTCATATCTGTAAAGAAAACATTTCATTAAAAAAAAGAAAAGTTTTCATTATGGAAATTTTCTAACAATGTTCAGTGTAACATATGCAAAGACTGTGGTTCTTTCTTTTAGGCTGTTAATAGTCAATCTATTTTTCTGTTGTTGTTTTTTTTTAAACCTGAACCCAAGTTTTACTGGGTTTGGGGGGTTTTAACTTCTGCTTTTAACTGTTAGTTCCCTCCTCCGCTTCCCTTTATTTTTCACTTTTCCTTTTTGTGTGTGTGTGTGGTAGATGCTTAATTCATTTATTTCTTACATTGATATTATTTCTTTATATCTATATAATAAGATTAAATTTCCCATTATATGTGCATTATATGTGTCATAGGTTTTGATAAGTTGTGATCGCATTAACAGTGTTTTCCATATGGTAGACAGTTTTACCTGAGTTAATGTTAACTTGTAGCATTAAGTAGTTATAAGTGTTGCCTTCATATTATTTAAGTCTTTCTTGTCCTTATATTTTGATTACTTGACTCAAGGATGGAGAAAAGGAGAATTAAAATACTGTACTAATAATGTGTTTCTGTTTTTCCTTATATCTGCTGTGTTAAGAATATTCATGTGTAGATATTTTAAAATATATCCACAAAAAGTGCATCTTGTACCATTAATCACCATTGTTCATTTCATATTATGTCTTTTCCACCTGAATTCCACTTTGTTTACTATTAATACAAAAACTCTTGCTTTTTTTACTTGGAATTTTTTGTATACCTTGGTCTTACCTCTTTAGGAGTAAGCTTTTTTAACTGAGGTACAATACGGAATGTCTCTAGAACCTCAGAAATTTCCATCATGCCTCTCAGCCACTTATTCCTACAAAGGTACCTACTGTTTTGACTTTGAACCATAGATTCGTTTTGTGGGGTTTAGACTCTCATATCAGTGAAAACATGCATTATTTACTTCTTTTGTTTCTTGCTAATTTTGTTCAACATTATATATATGATATTCAGTTACATTGCTGAGTGATTTGTATTGCTGTGTGATATTCCTTTATGTGAATATATCTATGCATTTTATTGTTGCTGCACATTTAGGTAGTTTTCAGTTTGGGGCTATTTTAAGTAAAGCTGCTTTGACCAGTCTTGTCAAATTTTCAAAGCAAATATAAACTCATTTTTGTTGCACATGCATTGGAGTGAATTTGGGGGGTCCTAGGGTATGTCTATGTTCAGCTTCAGTAAATACTACTGAGTTTTTCAAAATGGTTATATCAATTTTACTTCCATTAGCAGTGTATGAAAGTTTTACCTGTTCCACATACATCTTTCCCTCAGTAAAATGTTTAGTTTTCATTTTAGAGGTCTTGCACACCTTTCATTGGCTTTATTCTTTGGCATTTGGTGTTTTTATATGCTGTAATTTTTTATTTCTTTTTCCTTGTTGTTTGGGGCAGGAATATAAAAATACAATTAATTTTGTATACTGACATATCTAGAAAACTTGATAACTTCCAATAATTTGTAAATTCTTTTGGACTGTCTATCCAATTATGCTCAGTGTTAAAATTACAGTTCTACTTCTTATTTCTAAAGGAAGACTTTAGCTAGGATCTCCAATACAATGTTGAATATATGTAGTATTAGCAAACATATCTTCCTTCTTCCCAATCTCAGGGATATGTCAATATCATAACTAATTATGATAATTATTGTAGGTTTTTAGTAGACATCTTGCTTTTAGCGTTCTGCCTCTGATGTTTCTTTTTTCATTAATGTTAGAGCAAATCTGGAAATACCACCACCACACTTCTTTCTGCAAGGCAGAATCAGGACTTCACATGCAATGAAGTAGATTGTTTCAAAGCAGGAAGGTTTCAACTACTTTGTTAGGTTACTTGGGACAGAAATGATTCGCTGTGAAAAGATTCACTTATCACTTCAGTGCCCTATTTGAGACTGGTTTGCTAGGCAGGGCCCACCCTTCTTTACTAGCAACCTTAGAATATAAATATTCATAATTGAGGAATGAGATCTCTTATTATGGCTTTTAAATCATTATAGACTTGTTAAAATATATGAAATTTATCCTTGTGGGAATAGTGCCAACAAAGTTTATTTTACCTTAAGAAAATTGGAAATATTATTTGCATATTCCATCCATTTCCCATGAAAAAAAATAATTGTGTTGTATTAAGGGGTCTTTCTAAGCCCACAATGGAGAATGTGCCCGATGCTATTCCTAGAATACCACAGCAGCACATATTCATAAAACTACATTCTGCAATCTCTTCCTATTGTAGGAACTGCTGTATCTAGATTATCAGGAAAGGTCTAGTTAGGGTAAATGCAGACTTTTTAGCCCAAGCTCATAAAACTAAAATGGAACTGAAAAAATTGTGTTTAAGACTTTAACAGTAGTTTACAAAACTCATGAAGCCTATTATCTCTAAAGGTAGAAAAGAATGAAGATATAAACAATTAAAATAGATAACTTATGAATGACAAAATCAATAATATGTAATTAAGGGAAACTAGAATATATGTAATACATCTAACTTTTGAAAAATTAAGAAAAGCAGCCATGCCTCCCTAATGTCTCCTTGATTCATACAGTAAAAAAC